CATGCAAAACTCACGGCTGTCGTGCGCTACAGTACGTACGGCTCGTACGTATGAGTTTACGCGTCTATAGTTTTGAAATGGACTGTAGGTACTAGGTAAAACCATTTGGTGCAAGCTAGATGATACACAGCCGGACGAACACTGAGTTCAACTCCCTCAACCTTACGAATACGTATTGCTATTATGTAATACATGGGTGATGGATCTTCACATGGCACACAAAAACTAAAATCATAAGCGTTCACTATGTGTGTGGCTTTCTGTACGTGTATGGTGCTATGCGTGTTTTCTACCTTCAGGAAAGCAAAAGTGCGCACACCTTGTATGAGAAGAGTGAGGACACTTTCAAGAAATCGAGAATTAGCGTCTTCGGGAAAATGAAGGCGCTGAAGGGCCGTCAGGTAAACGCTCTGTCGGCTACACTCCCACGAGCGAACGCCACATCTCCTAGTTTTCTGAGGAAGAGCATTGTCGATCCACTACCGCCCGTGGTCGTGGCACCTGCGTCACCGGGACGGCCTGAATCTCCAGTGGTGCGCAAACGCACGTCGCAGTTCGACTGCGGTGGAACTACCCTGGCGGGCCAGTCGAACGACGTGGACTTGGGGATCCGACGCCGATCGCGGAGCTACCACTGCGGACTGGAGGCGGTGAGTCTACTCACCCACCCGTGCAGCAGCATGACCGACATCGTTGCCGGTGTTTCTCTCGACGAGCCCCCGGCGCTGACGCGGCGATTCAGTCGCAGTCGCCGTCGCTCTCGTTCCGCCGAGCCGTCCATGCTGGAGTTTGACGAGAACAGCGAGGACAACAACGCCATGATCTCCAGTCGCCGCTCTGTGCCAACCTTCAGTCCCATTGCCATGGAGATGTCGTTGTCGAGGGAACGCAGCTGCAGTTTGTCGAATATCCCCGCCGCTGCTGGAAGCGATCCCACCAGTCCCCCCGGCGTTGCCAGTCCCGGTCGCTTTACTCGCAAGGTGGAGAGTCCTCTCGTTCGAAGTGGTAGCGCAACGCAGTTCACTTTCACCGATCCGCCAAAACCGGCCGCACAGTCGCCAACACCAACCAAACCATCTCAGATGAACAAGGTGAGAAATTGCTTTGTTTTGCCGCCCACATACCCATGCCCCCTCACCCATCGGACCGTGGCCCATGGACTGCACACAGTAGTAGTATGTGTGATCAGAACTAAAAAAAAAAGGGTTGTGCTTTTCAAGTATAAATGCACTTCGAGCTTTGAGATATTCTCATTTTACCTAGAACTTTAAGGTACCCACAGGCATGTCTGTTACCCTGGTTACTCAGAGGCTATTCAAATTGCCCTCGTCAGATTTTTTAGATAATTGTTGAAAGAGATGAGCTGAAGTGTCCCAATAAAACCGACGCCGCCTGTCTGGCCATTTGCAGTGGAGCCATCTTAGCAAAAGAGGTATACTGCTGTATATGCAGCTCCACGTACCATGGGCTTCATTCACCATGTGTATTGAATTATATTCTGTCGTAGTGTCCACGGAAAATACTCACAAAAGGAAGTTTTCGCAGGAGTATTTCAAGCTCTTTAATTAACGAAACAATCCACTCCAGCCCTTGAAAGATAATTATTGTCCTTTCTTGCCTCATGTTGCTGGTTATGTTATAGGTAACCACGCCAAACGACTCGAGCCACAAACCATCCCAGCACGGTTTGCACTTGGACCAGCCGACATCTACGCACGACAAGGAACGGGGTAAAAGCCCGCTTGCATCTTACGAACCTGCTGCCGCTGTTAGCGACGAGGAAGCCGTCAGACGAGTCAAGTCACCTATTCGAAGCAATGTCGTGAAACCAAAGCCGCCTCTCCACAACGACGACGAGTTTCCGAACAAAGTCCAGACGTCACTGCGACGGGATGAGTCCGCTAGCAGTGTGAAATCCTATCTCCACAGGCACGAGTCGTCGTCCAGCTGCATGACAAACTGCTCGTCCACGTCCGGAGGCAGCGCCAGCATCGGCATGCAGTCGGAAAGTGATTGCTTCCGGCCAGTGCAGTCGTCCGGCAACTCTGCCCACAAGGACCAGCAACGCCGCCATCATCATCATCGCCCATCCACCGACTCCGTACCGAGCGAGGTATCCGGCTTTGCCAGCGATGGCAGCAGTGCAGCCGAAGTCGACATGCCGACGATGCAGCAGCACAAGCGACCGGCACCGCAAGCGTACAAGATATCGTGCAACATGCAGGACCTGGTCGAGAAGATATCCGGCCTGGGCCAACACCATCGACGGGGATACACAATCAATATCATAGTTCAGAACCAAGCAGTGTGATACCCGTGTTGCATTCACTGTCCACTTGAGCGCGGCGAACTGCTGCACCGTATTGCCACAAGCCAACCCATCCGTCCCCTTGATTCTAGCCACACCATGAACATCATGACATTGTGGGATTTAGCCAGGACTGAGAATACTAGATCTTAGCCAACCACGTATGCTCATTGCCCTCTGTTATGGTCATCCTCCTTTCCACGAACATGCTTTAGAATGTTCTGAGCACGCTTGAGCCCTGAGCACAAATTGTAGAACGAAATTGAAAGAATTATTATGATCTACGAGTGAGTGCATGAGCCGCGCAGAGCTTCATTTCTAGTTTCCAGGCACTTGTTGCTCAGCGGCTGACCTGTTTTGCACGTGCCCTCAGCTTTACATACATAATTTTGGCACGTTGACTGCTGGTGCGCACTTGACGCCGCTGTGTTATAACTCAACTAACGCTTGCCCTTGGCATTGCACTATGTATGTAGTGATTATTATACCACCACCACAACCCTGTCCCAGTCCACTATTGGCTTGGTGCCAGAGGTGACGGGGTTCAGAAAGATCATGCTCTTTTCCTACAGTGCATCGTTAGTTATTCACCCAGCTGTGTTGATGGTGAGAGTCTCACTTCGCTAGGCTAGTAAGAACGAAGGTGTTTATTGTTCAGTATTTGACCACCCCAATTGAATGGGTCTAGTTCTAACACTCACATTGGGTGAGCTTCAGTTCAGGAGCTAGATCTGACGTCTAATTATACGATACAGATCTACTCCCTTGATTCAAGTGACTTAGGTAGGCCGGCGGAAACAGTCTGGTTGGTCAGGCCACGGCCGGACCAACGTTTTAGCCGCCAAAGTGTGTTTACTGCTGAGGACGTCATGTGTATACCCTCCGTATCATACACAAACAGTATGAACGCCTAGGGTATGGCCGGAGCAAATATAAACTGCTTCCGCCGGTCCTGTTAGGTTCTCCAGTGCAAGTATGACTCTCAGTGCAACTCATGCATGATCACATGTCTTGCACATTGCCAGAATCAGTTCTGAGGACTCTCAAACTGCCCTGCACAAGAATGGGTAAGCTTCCAAAAATGTGGGAACATACACACACGCACAAACACACACATATGCACACGCACGATGCCACACACGTATGCACGCACACACACGCACAACCACTGCCTGAGATCTCTTCACTCCATGCCTCGGTCTTGGTAGACAAAGCTCTGCCAACAGGTGAACACTCGCCGTTTTACAATGATAGCTAACGTTATTGTAGATTTTGGTAACAGCATGGGAGTCAAAGAGAAGACTAAAACTTCATATTTCTTGAAACCCAGGGGGGGGGGGAGTAAAGGGAACAAAGGGAATGTCATGTATCTCGGATATGTTTACTGCATTGTAGGCAGGTACAAGAATGAAATTTCAGGAAAGCCTGTACCAGAACTTCAGTCGATCACGCAACAACAGGACGGAAAATATCACCAGATTGCCCGGACAAGTCTATAAAACCACCCTTTTGGGTCGGCTTCCACCTCCATGATAATACCTTCAAGCGAGGGTGCCTTAATATGTTATGTGGTCCTTGAACAGAAACCCCATGCTGACACAAAGGGGCCACTGTTGGAGTCGTTGTCGTCATTATTGTCGTTGTCAAATGCCCTTACTTTCCAGTTGGGTTGCCGTACCAGGGGTAGTGTGCGGGACACGGCGAACACGTTCTCATGTAGTGCTCCATGTCGGTCTTGCACAGCGACGGCAGTGCTTGCAGCGGACGCCGTTCGCCAGTGTACTCCGCACAGAGTGCGCCGCCCTCGCCACCACCACCAGCACCGTCACCACCGTCACCGTTCATGTCCGTGAAGTGGCAGTTGTAAGCGGCGGACTCGGCGCACACCGGCGGCATCACTGGTGCCGTGCACTGGAACGGGGCAAAGTCCTTGACTGAGGTCAGTGCCTGCGGACTGCGCATCCAGTCCAGCATCTGCGCCACGCTGACCAGCCAGACATCGTCCATGGCGGCCAGCTCGCCGATCAGCTTCTCGACGGCGGGAAACGCCTCGTTCGGGTGCTGCAGGAACCAGGCGGCGTGCATGAAGATGCCGTACGGCGCACGATTGCTCTTGTAGTGACGGTCAAAGTTGGCCCGCAGGAATTGGTAAGCGTCGTCCACGCTGGTTGGCGTGAAGGCGTCCACCATGGAGTAGCACTGGCCTGTGCGGTCCGACTCCAGGCCAACCAGGGGTACTTCCCACATGCCCGGGTACGACTGGGTGGGACACGGTGGTATCATGCACTCCTCGGTGCGCGCATAGTCCAGCGTATAGGGGTACATAGGCGGGTCGACGTACTTGCACGTCGGCATCGTAGAGTCATACACGAAACTCTGCTCTTTCAACACGCTGAATTGTCGATCACCGCCCGCCTGAAGATACGGTGCACGGAATCCGGTGATGTTTGCAGCCGGAATGTTGGCAAACATCTCCAGGATGGTCTTCATGCCGGCTATCTCACCGCGCCACTCATCCACGGTGGCATTGGCCCACCAGGTTGTGGGCGTGCGATGCGTGATGGTATGGTCGGCTATCTCGTTGCGCTGCGTGTACAGATACTCCACGGTGTAGTAATCCGTGTACTCGTGGCACACGAAAAACGTGGCCGTCATCGGGCAGCCGTTCGGGTTCTTGTACTGTCCGGAGAGGATCTGCTTCTGGAAGTCGTACACCTGTGTGTTTACATTGTCATCAAACGTTAGCATCACAATCTGAGGGCTGTTGGCCGGTGCGAGCCCACCCGGTGGTGTAGTTCCGGAGCAGAAGCAAGTCGGCAGTTTGCAGTTACTCGCCGTGCAAGGCTCGAGATCCGCGGCACTGTCTCTGCTCCGGGATTGAGGAGCCGCAAACGCAACAAAAGGCCCCGAGACCAGCGATACATACAATACCATCAACACAACTGGCGCAAGCCAGGCAAGACGATCGGACGCGGCCATTGAAGACAATCTTTCCTCAGTCTTCAACAAGAATTAGAATTACGTTACGCGGCTAGGCCAAAGAAGCCTTCGCACCCTACACCGAGAGCAAAGGACACCTGAGCGCTCTCCCGTAGCAATGATCACAAAGCTAGCTAGCCATCCGTATTTCTCTGCTCTTGAACACAAATAGCCCTGCGCCATGGTCGAGCCAGCTACTCACGGAAGTCGTATCTCCCATTCATCAGGGGAAAAGAAGGTGTCATGAGGTGGTCGGCGGGTCAAGGTACGGCTGGTTCGTCTTCGGAGTTTTTTGTTACCCTGGCCCTGTGATCATGCGATTCATGGTGATCCTACAAAACATGTAGCGCAGCCCACGATGCATGCATGCAGTATCAACTCCTGCATGTTGTTGTAGGCGCACATGATTCAGTGTAGTCCAGGTGTAGATAGATATAGATGTACGTGTGTGAAGACACTGGTACATGGTGCAGATACCACACAAAGGCAGGCTCGAGTCGAGATCACGAGATGCTGCAGGGAACGACGCGCGTGATCCTAGGGCCGTCAGGACTCTTTTTTAGGCTCTGCCGCAAAGAAAAGTACAGGAAAGTCCGGACCCGAACACTACTACTACTAGTCTAGACAAAGTGTCTGAGGTCCTTGCTGCAAATATAAATTATTATTATTATAGTGATCAATACCCTAGCAAGGGCAGAGCGTACTACACAACTTCAAGACAGAACAATAGAAACCAATATTACAGTAACTTTCTCGTGACCCATCCGTTTTGGTCGGTCCATTGTTTGGGTCCAGCGGATAATGCCGGCATTATATTCGGCATTATGGGACTATCCGGGCATCAGAGCATTGTGGAGCATAAGAAAGGGAAAAAACGAGCATTTTGTGAGATTTGAGCGGCATTTGGACTTTCATAGTGGATAATATGGGGAAATTCCAGCAATCGGCTACACTCATGAGGTACAATATATGTGCAACCCTCCTCGTGTTACCAGGTTACTGGATCGTGGATCCCTTTGGCTTTGTGTGGACACGTTGAACACTTTTTAGCACTTGATGCAGCAAAGACTTACCCTCACTACATGTATCTAGCCAGGTCAATGACTATCTATGTGCGCCCAACCAAAGCTGGTGCAAAAATTCGCAACAAGAGCCGAAAAGGAACCTCGCCAATTTCGTTAGAAGCCCCAAACTGGCCAAAGATGGTTGTGTATGTGCATTCGTGCAACAGCACTGTCATAAGGTTGAGTGAGGCTCTGCCAGATTCTGCTCGAAAAGCAGTGAAACTGGCAGAGCCATTCAAAGTGTATTGCGGGCAATTTCTCGAATTCTGCTCCCCTTCTTTATCCAAGTTTTTTTGGACAGGAAATGGCATTCCTTGGGCCTATTTGTAGTGGTTCTCCAAGACGCAGGAGGGTCGCCCTATCGGAGTTGTCGCGCATTGACCAGTTTTTACTGACCGTCGTGCGGTAAGGTAACTGATGGATATACAGTAAAACCTGGGACTAAAGACCACCCTTGGAGCCAGAGAAAATGGTCTTTAGTGGCAGGTGGTCCTTAGTTAGAGGTTTGCACCACACAACCATACATGAATGTGAGACCGTCCGTGCCTGGCGAAGTGGTCTGTATTACCAGGCAGGTCGCTAGTCACGGTGGTCTTTAGTTACAGGTTGGTCGCTAGTCACGGTGGTCTTTAGTTACAGGTTTTACTGTATTCAACCTACCCCTCCGAGCTGGAGGACACTGCTGGCAGAAAACTGGCAGAATAGTTTGGTACTCAATCTTCTGGGTTTTCTCTTGCATTTTGGTATAATATTATGGATAACTTGAGAAGACTGGGAGCAGAATTAGAGGAATTGCCTGCCCTAAGCTTTGCATGGTTCTGCCAATTTCAACGTTTCCGCAATAGAATCTATCACTTGTTCGCCGATTATTATCCACCAGGGCCTAGCACTTGCCAGCACCCCCCCCCCCCCTCCCCAATACAAACAAAAGAACGCTTCAAGGCTATTAGTATTACTGGGCCTGTTCACACGGTTCAAGCAAGCATGGACAAGGTTAGGTGCTACTGCTATTCCAGCCGATAACAATGTCCCGTATGATTGTAGTTTCACACAAAAACTAAAAAGGAAAAAAGGAGTTTACAGAGTTCGACGCACTCTGGAAACCTCCTTTTTTGCCTCTGGTGTGTAATAGTGCTCCGCATTGTTACTAATGTTAGTGTTGAGCCCTCTCCGCTCAGTCCGCTGGTGGGTTAGTAAAGGAATATTTCCTCCCTGCTTGCGGTTTCATGTACTCTACTCTCTATGGTAGTAGTCTTGGTTCTCTTACTCTTACTAGTCTTAGGGTTGGTTCACATAAGCAAAATCGGCGCCGCAAGACATCGGCGGTGAGCCAGCTCCCGATCCGTTGCGCATACGGTTCGAGTACCAAATCTACTACAAAGTAGTACAGAATGTGCCCAAATGCTACGACAGGTTTGCCAATTGAAGCTTGAATTCTTTGTTTCTTCAGTAGTTCAAGGTCTTTCGGTGATGGCCACTCGGTGCTACTTTTACTGGAGATCATGAAAATACTTCTACACATTTTATTGCAGTCTAGTAAGCGATTGTGTCGAAATTATGCTTGCAAACGTTGGTGAAGTCACAAGAACTTGCCAATGTATCCATCATATTTTCTATTTGTTTCAATTGTATTTGTCTCAGAAGTTGCACAATGGTCAAGCAGATCATCCGAGAAGGACGGGCTGGTATGCTGACTTATTTGCCACCTTGAAGCGACTACAAGAATGGCGAACGGACCTCCTCTCTAGCTTCAATTTAGGAAAATTTAGGACAAGTGTTGGTTTGATATTTTGACAAAGTCTGGCTCCCGGCAGCCGGCGATCACCGGCGCGAACGGTTCACAAACCACTTTTGGTCAAAATTGTACGGGATCGGCGCTGGGGCAGATCGCAAGAGTTGGGCACTGTCCAACTTTGCCGGCGGTCCCTTGCGATATTTTACCGTATGATTTTGTTACGACTGCACTGGTTCACACAATCGCAATGCGCCGGGAGAGGTTGCAAGAAGCCCACCGCCGGTGACTCCCGGCGCGTACCGGCGATATGTGAACCAACCCTAAGTCTTACGAGTCTTAGACGTGTTGCAACAGGTAATAGGGCTTGAAAGTGCTACGTCACAACAATCATAGCAACAATTTCAAAAATTCAAAAACTGGATCCACTTGGATCCAGTTTTTGTATGGATCCAAGCACATTTCAAGCGGTCTTACTCACAGCAAGGTGATGTAGCCGGTGTAATTGACTGGATTGCCTAATGGGGGTGGGGTAAGAACTGGTGGCGAAGAAAAGTCACACCTGCATACGACATGCGTGGGTTGCTATGCACCCACATACTGAGGCAATAGCAAAGTCACACCTTTGAGTGGATCCCAAATAGAAATCTGATGTGAACTTAGTACTCCCTGGCCGTTTTTGACGTCATCACTTTCAAGCCCTATTGCTAGTGTTGGCGTTATCATGGTTACAGTCGTCATGCATCCACTCACCGTAATGTGTGTGACGTCACTCTTTGTGTTGACAAATCCTCCCACACACTGCACGATGTGTCGTGGTGGTATGGACTCTACCGTATACCATGGTATACGTAGTCTACGTCGATGAGTTGCTCCCTGCATGCTGGTTGTGCCGTTTGAAGGCGTTTCCGACACAATCATCTTCCGTCCGCCTAGCTCTTTGAGCGACAACATCGCATGAGCTGTCGAATGAGCTGTCGAATGAGCTGAGTAAAGGAGTCGGAGGATTTCCGCTCGAGGCATCTTGCAGACATAGCACGGCCAAACTAGAATGAGTCGTGTCATAGGGCCCGAGGCGCTCAAGTCGCGCATGGATGGCGGCGGGCGTTCTCATCGCGGCGGCTTGCCTCTTGTTTTCGACATTGGCTCGCATTGCATATTTCTTGGGACGGCCGGACAGCCGCTGCCATACCTGGAAATACCCCCGGTGGTGGCGCAACACAGGAATGCTGGTCAGCTGAACGATGATTCGCCGATTGGCAGCCTCGTCGAGGAGCGGTCGGAATACCTGCTCGGGCCCGACAAGAGAAATGAATATTTTGTCGGCGAGCAAGCGAAGCAACTGCTTCGGTCGGCGGAGGGCGAAGGCTCTGAATACGTTGCGCGATATCCTCTAGCGAATCAGAGAGTCATCAATTGGACTGACCTGGAAAAAGTAAGCAACATTATTATTTTTGTTCACTTGCCGCATGTTTGCGTGCTGTCACCGTTCATTTGCATTGCGGTGGATTTCCTCCGTCACCGCTGCATTCAAGCACGTCGTTTTATGCATACATATGCATACGTGACAAATGACAATACAAAAATCCCTGAAACTAGATCTAAACCCATACAGACCTCAATACACCCTTTCGAGCTCATGGTTGATTCAGATATTTGTTCCTCTTGTCTCCCGCAAGCATGGGATGGGGGGCTCAAGCCAGGAAATCCACAAAATGTGTGTGTGTGTGTGTGTGTGTGTGTGTGTGTGTGTGTGTGTGTGTTTGTGTGTGTGTGTGTGTGTGTGTGTGTGTGTGTGTGTGTGTGTGTGTGTGTGTGTACAAGTTGCTATGTCTAACATAGCTGTTCGCTATCATCGCTTCCGCGATGGGCAGGTCTGAGGTCTGAGGTGTATGTGTGTGTGTGTGTGTGTGTGTGTAAGAAAAAAAGAGAAAAAAATGGAAAAATGAAAAATAGGGATTCACTGGCCAGAAAAAGTCACTTCAATCAGCTGTGTGGTGGATACCAGGCTAAAAATAGTGGCGGTCAATTCATCAGCCTTGCAAGCTGTTGAATGGTGTAATTTCAGCACAAGTTGCTATGTCTAACATAGCTGTTCGCTATCATCGCTTCCGCGATGGGCAGGTCTGAGGCCTGAGGTGTGTGTGTGTGTGTGTGTAGGGGGGGGGGGGGGGGGGGGTCGAGACTGAACACAGAAGAAGAGGATCCAGTTTTTGTATGGCCCTTGGACTGGTATCCTGGACTCAAATTTCACTCTGCTGCACTTAGCTGCTGCTCAATGAAATCCCATCAAGCGAGCCTGTGCCACGCCGGGCGCTGTGCCACACCGGGCAGCGCTGTGCAGCCCTTGTTTGACCCTTGGACAGTGGGATGTGAACTGGTGTAGGGTGCAGACTACAAAGACTCGCACAATTATTTTTATTGAGAAGCACTGCCCATGGATTTGCTCCAGCTCCACCACATGCCGCGCTCATTGATGAACAGGCCCTGCTGCTTACGCTTGCATATCAAGTACTGTACATCCTAGGGAAAACCAACTAATGTAAAGCAGAAATTTTCGGTGGTGTGTTATTTTCGGTAACTCCGGTGCCGAAATTTTACTGAAAATAACACGCACCGAAAGTTTCGGTATAGTACTAGTACACCTACCTGGAAAACGGGTTTACCGAAAATTTCCCTCCACCGAACCGCCGATTTTGGAGAATACCGAAAATATTACACCACCGAAAATTTCTGCTTTTACAGTGTGCTGATTACTTGCCACCTACTGGTTATAGTCGTACACCATCATACAGTATTTATACTCACTGTCAGTTGCAAGATGATGGATGCTACGTAACAGCCACTATCATGCCAGTGGGGTGGGCAGACTAAGCCACTCACCACACTACAGTACTAGAATGCTGGTGGTAATCATCACACGGCATCTACACTGCACGTCTGTGTGACTCTCAGTGAAGTGCTTAGGCACCTGTGTGTTAGGCTGCTGCGAGATGATCATAGCAGGGCCGGTGCCGGAACCGGTCCGGTTGGTGAGGTCATCACCGGACCAACATGTTAGCCATCAACACAATCATGTTTACTACTATGGAGGTCATGTGTACCCTCCATATCATGCACAAAGTATGAAAGGCACTCGGAGAGTACCGGACCAATCAAGAAGTGTGTCCGGCAGTCCTGCATAGTCACGGATGTGTTTCCCACAAAGGGGAAATGCATAGATGTGACTTCACAAGTTGAACACCAGAAGAAGAACACTATAGCCGATAACTCAATCGTCCATAACGCACAGATGTCATCAGTGACCAGTTGTTGGTGACTGTTCACCCCTACTACCTCCCCATTCCTTTAGGTCTGCAGTCCAGGCTTTCCCCGTACAGTCGTCCCTCTCTAATCCGGCACTTGTTTATCCAGCACCCTTGCAAACCAGCACACTTTCTGGCAAAACGGATTTTTTCAGTTCATTTTCTACGCCGTTTAATCCGGCACTTGAATTCCGCCTCCAGCAGCGATTTTCTGCAACAAATCACTCAAACTGTACATAATTCGATTTTCTAATCCAGCAGTTGTACATCGCAGACTGTCAGGGACCATTGTAACATACACAACACATGTCACATACACTTGGGAATATCCTATGCCAGTGCATAGGATATTCCCGCCAAGTGTATGTTATAGACATGCATTCCACAAAGTACTTGGATTGACACAGAACATCCCTACGTTTTGACGTACGACACAAACATGTATGTTAACATGTGGGCCGGGTTGGAGGGCAGGATTTGATAATCCAGCACCCTTGTTTATCCAGCAAAAAATGCCGTTGCAAAAGGTGCCGGATTAGAGAGGGACGACTGTACCAGACTGAGGACATGACTGTATCAGCTGAGGTCGCAAGACACAGCACCAGCATGAACTGGGTGTTGCGCCCTACCTAGCTTAGGTTGGACTACCGGCGTGTTCCCATTGCCTGCATGCCGTGTGTTGTGCAAACACACTACAACGTGTACACTGCGTGAGTCAGTGGATGACTCGAAAACTGCAGCACGATGATCTGAAAACATGTCTGCACATTTGGCACGATGTGCATGAAATGGATCAAATACATTATAGTATTGTCTGATGATTGCCTATTGGCGTGAAACTCAGAGCTGCAAGAGAAAACCTGTTTCACTTTGTCAATAGTGTATGACCAGCTTTGTATAGTGTGCTGCATTGAGCACTATCCCTGTTGCTTGAATGGTGCCTGCTTATAAGTTATACTGATTAGGTCTGTTCATGTTGCAGATCTGGATCCATGGCATGCACCACAATCTCGGGGTGGTGGCCGAAGACCATCCCATCCTGATGAACGTACCACCGTACTTACACGCCAAGGACCACCGCAAGATGTTGGAGGTGTGTTTGCCAGCCTGATGGCCAGGATGCATGCTGTTCTGCAGGCTGCAGGAGCTGCGAGATTGTGTATAGGCCAGATGCATGTACTTCCAGCTCTAGTGATGACATCAGACAAATCCATACTGTACAAAGCAAACTTGCCTGATTCTGTGCTACATGAAGTACACTGAATGATCATGGTAGTCAGTGTAGGTGTACTACTTGTACACTTTATGTTGTACTGTCAAATGGGGGCAGTATAACTCAGGATTGTTAAGGCATTGACACATGCATAGCAACTCGTGAATGACGACACAATCTTCAGACCTGCAGTGAACATTTGACTGCGTACTTTCAACCGCGCGGGGAACGACAACTCGAGAATAACGACGGTGCTTTCCTGATGAACAATCGAGGGTCGTTATTCGCAAGGTTGACTGTACTTGTTATTATTATTCAACTATACGAGTGAGAACAGTTGCAGTGGAGTCTTCAACTTCTTTATCATGAAAATAAAACCAAGACTTGAAGATGGAAATCTGTCCACAAAGTCAATGCAAAAAAAGGAAGAGAAAAGTTGCAAATTATACAATGAACTTGCACGAGTGCGCCGTTCATCATTTCCAGTGCATGCATGTTCAACTTGTCGTTCTTGCTGTGCCTATTCAGATTCTGTTCGAGTCGCTGAACGGGTGCGATGTGAGTCTCCATGACGACGCGGCGCTAGCGCTGCTGAGCCGTGGCGTGTCGAGTGGCATGGTGCTGGCGCTGGGCCACTCGACGGCCGAGTTTGTGCCGGTCGAGGAGGGCTTCACCACGCACCACTTTGCCATGCCGATGGACGACAGCATGACGGGAATAGCGACCACGCGACGCCTGAAAGACCTGCTGGCCAAGAGTCCTCACGACTTCACGAAAGAAGTCGTAGGGAAGTGCCACCTGAGCGACGAGTACGCGCAAGCCCTGAAGGAGGACTACAGCATGGTGGCGCAGTTCTACAACCATCAGCTCTGCGACTTTGACGAGAGCTGGAAGCGAGTGCTGGAGGAGAAACAGCGGCACTCGCGCGTCTCACTCGGGCCGCGCATGTTCTGGTACGACAACCGGCAGCAAGTCGATCCCCGCAAGAACATTGTCCAAGAGCTGAAACTGAAGGACAGGGAAGGGAAAGAGTGTGAGCTTATGTTGGGCCCGGAAAGAATGGCTGTGTACGAAAGTCTCTTCGACGCCCGTCGCCTAGACCCGGAGCAAATGTACGTTCCTGAAGAGGAGACAGGCGTACTGGCCGGGCCCGGCAGAACGGGCAAGACGGTGCCAGTTCCCAAAGATGGTCTAGCCGGACGCATCACCGCTCACTTGGAGGTTCTGGCCGAGTACGCTGTAAACGGCACGGTACTCCGGAACCTCGTGGTGACTGGCGGTAACGCATGCGCCCCGGGCTTTGCCGACCGCCTCGGCTCCGACCTGCTTCGCTACAGCAGGGAGAATGGCAAGAAGGTCTGGACGCTGCCGAGGCACCGGGTCCTGTCGTCGCCAAACCCTCGCTACGACGTGTGGAAGGGCGGCTCCATTCTGGCGACGCACCCGAGCATGAGCTGGGTGAGCAAGCGCTTCTACATGGAGCACGGAGCTGCCAACACGATAAAACAAAAGCTGTGGCTGAGAGAGTGAGCACTGGACCAAGATCGCCTGCCATGCATCGCCTGAACAGAGTGGACTGGCGATGTAGCACTCAGAGAACGTGTTTACTGGTATACGCTACGGGCAATGTGTGCACATGCTAGCACTAACAGGGAAACACATACTCCCTGGCCTCATGTGTCCGCAGATTACCAGCCTGAAACGTATGCAGAGTATACCGGATCAACTGTGAATACAATACCAGTGGTTCTTATGGTCTCTGGCCTGATTTGAAGTGGCCGTGGCCCTGTGTTTGTCATCGTAACCATAGTTACAGTGGGACTCCTGCATAGACACTGTCAGTCACGTTACCTTGCCGACCGTACTACATTGTGTACTTGATTTCCACCATAGTCCATAGCCTGCGCAATGGGCTGGATACATTTTGTTGTTTTGACTCAACTCCATGCCCCAGCATGGTCTGGTCTACCTGCCAAGTGCAATCATTGTGCAATCATTGTGCTAGCCTGTACTTGATAGTGCTAGTGACGGGACAACAGTGTATGAAAATAACGAACGGAATGACTCTTCACGCAGCTTCACTGTAACAACAAATTGGTCTCACGGCAACACTGGCCAACTGAGCTGCACTACTATTTCACACAGCCTGACGGTTCTTGTTCAACGCTTCGCTCGCTATGACCGTCTTTCAGGCACATTCGACTATGTGAACGAGCAGTGCAGCTGAGCGTTGTCCAATGTTGCCATAAGACCCATTTTGACAAAACAGAAAGGTTCCAGGCTGTCCGAAACAGTGCTCAATGCACAGGCAGAGCTACTTACAACAGGTAGAGGATGAACATTACAAGGAACTCTTTCATCCTCTACTTCTTGACCAATTTGATATTTAATATCTTTTTTTTATTTTTTTATTCAGACCAAATAATAATAAATTTTATTATTATTTGGTCTGAATAAAAAAATTAAAAAATAAACAACAGAGTGATCACAGTACAGTGCAGATGTTGTGTGCTGCCGTCCGGTGGCCAGTAATACATACCCTAGGGACTTGGAGTGCTCGCACTCTTCAGTTTCACACTGCAAGTCACCATCAACATCAGCCATGGAAGCCCGTGTACATACAGTGACGACACACCAGATAGTCGGAGCCGAAACTAGTCCCAACTTCCGAATGCTTTGGCAAGAGGTGGCCTTCCGATAGGTTGGAAGCATGCGGGCGCGCGCACATGTAAATAGTTAGGCTACATTTCTTTGGAGTGCACACACACACACACACACACACCTTTGACGCCCATCGCCGGAGGCGATGATAGCAATGCTACGGCAGAGGCCATAGCAGCTTGTGCTGGGATTGCACCATTCAACAGCTTGCAAGACTGAAGAATTGACCGTCACTATTCAGCCTGGTCTACACCATACAGCTATTTGAAGTGACTTTTTCTGGCCAGCGAATCCCTATTTTTGGTCTTTTCATTTTTTCCCGCACACACATCACACCACATACTCCGGCATGCACTGGCTGTTGGTAACCACCCAGGAGAATGAAAGAAAAGTCAGGAAGAGTCTGAGAAAGAGAAGAAAGACGTGTGTGACCATAATCGTCGGGAATCGAACCCGCAATCTATCGATTGGAAATCGCTGCACATACAGTAAATAGTGGATATAACGTGCCCCTTTGATTTTCGATAATTTATCACTATATCCGGTGCATCACTATAGCCGATTTGCATGTATGACTGACACATGACACATGACTGTGCATGAAATGATGCGTACATGCTGGAAAAAGCATGAAAAGCAGCCACGTGTACGTGTGGCTGCTTACAGCATACAGGGAAGAATTTTCTCTCGATCACGTCTGCTGCCTGATGCATCCAGGCAACACTGGATCCGTTTTGGAGGAAGTGAACTATATTGGAAGAACACTTGTTTTGTGATCATCACTCTTGATCAGTATTATGCGATATTTTCCTGTGCATTTGATATGGTTTGCTTCCTGAAGCCCATCACAATAAGCGATATATCGGTATAGCCGATAATAGTGTGTATAGTGATATTTTAACTGTATTTTTTGTGATTTGATTTTGATTTTGGCGAGTTCTATCATTATAGCCGGTATATCGTTACACCCGGTCACTTTATAAACGATACTCACTGTACCACTGCACCATATGGGACACACACACACACACACACACACACACACACACACACACACACACACACACACACACACACACACACACACACACACACACACACACACACACACACAGAGGCAAATAGGCTACATTTCCTTAGAGTTTCAACATGACTTCAGTCAAATCAGCAGGTGCACGGTGACAAGAGTCAGTCGACCAGTGCCGGCAACAGGGATACGCCAGAGAGAATGCAATCATCGGGTGTTAAAGAGTAAAAAAAGAAAGAAAAAAGGACAGAAGAACATGAACGTGGCCAAAAGGGACACGGCTAGATGTGCACACTGCAGCCTTGCTTAGTAAAGCTAGACTTCAACACCGACTAAAACTAATAAGAGCAGTGAGAAAGAGAAGGGGAGAGAGAGAGAGAGAAAGTGAAGTAGCCCCTACACCTAGAATGGCAAGAGTGGAGAGTAGCAAGACAGAGAGAGATAGCCACACGTGTCAATCAAAGTACCCAGACACGCAATCTGACTCGCGTGCGCGCACTCAGCGCTTTTAAAAAGCCTAATAAAAACATATCTCCAGCCACACTAAACGCATCAAACACGCGCACGCGCACACACACACACACACACACACACACCACACACACACAGCACACTTCACTGGCAGCCTATAAAACATTGAGATCTGGTGATAGCACGTTGAGCTGAACTACGTCGAGCTGAACTAGACCTATGGCACAGCAACAGTGAATGTTAGGTCGACCACATCAGTCTGCATAGGATATACATGAAGAAACACAACACAACGGAAACAATAACAACTCATGTCAAGCATCGCAGAAAGCTGTCGCACTATACTGCTGTCCTAGATGAAATTCGACCCAAAGTGCATACTAGTAATTGGCGCTCTGGACTTACACAAGGGATCACTGAAAGTGGTGCGAATGCTGCTGTAGTACAAATACAGAGAGGGAGAGAGAGGGGGGGGGGGGGGGGGGGAGAGAGAGAGAGATGCACTAGCCATGGGTAATGGTGGTCCAGGGTGCCAGCTTTGCTTTGGGTCGGATTTTGCGTAGCGCAACTGCACATACATTAGCTGGCAAGCAAATAACACACCGCAACCGCATTTTGATGTGTTTATGCTCGAAAACTTGCGCCCCACTACAACCCCGACACATGCACACCACACGCATGCACACATGCTGTACCTTTTTCAGCCTCCAGCGAGTGCGAGAGAGGAATTCTAACGAGTGCTCCTTGCCGAGTACCTGATCGTCGAATAGAACGTCGACCTGCCGAACATATAGACAAGGTGGAGAAATGTCAGCACTTACAGAACACTGTTGTACGAAGTCAATACCCGTACCTCTACCGCTGCACCAGAATACGTTTAGAGTTACCCTTTAAAATAGAGTTATGCATGGGCAGCACGAAAACACTAGTAAGTTAAACACAGCAGTCTCAGAAATTGTTTGCAAGGCTTGAAATGCGAACACATCTCAATACGCATGTGCCAGGTCAACCCGGTGCACAACAGGATACGAAACTGCTTGGGGGGGGGGGGGGGGGGTGATTGGACTGCGGGGATGGTCTTCAACAAACTTCTATTCCTGGGCTGGCCTAATCACGAGAGGTTTCCGCGAAGAGACTTACATTGGCGGTATCGGACAGCGAGAGCTTGGTCTTGATGTACTTGCGCAGAATGTTAACAGTGGCTTTCGACGACATACAGATGAACGGCCGCTGAAGCTTCTGAACACGGAAAATGAAAAGAACAAGGCAAAGGAAAGAGGAAGAAGGTTTTATTGCACTTGTATCTTGATGTTATTTCTAACACCTTTCTATTTACAGTACTTAACTTCAGTTTCTTTGGTTGTATCCTTAGTTCCGTTTTTTCCCACTGATGATAGGAACGAGAAAATCGATTCTGGGTTTTCAATAATATTTTTGTTATAAAATACACAGTAATACATGTCAAACAAGTAACGTAGTTGCGTGATGTCTGCGGCCTTCATCCTATTCATAGCTATATTAAAGAGGAAGAAAAGAGTTATAATTGGCACAACAACTCTACCCGGACTTTTTCCAGTCTGGTTTTTTTTCATTTTCCGTACTCTTTCCAGACTTGTAGACTATGCTGCAAATCCTGCATTGTGCAGTAAGAGTAGTACACTAATGTCAGTCATTGGGCGAGGCTATCGAACTGGTCAAATCACTCAACACTACTCCGAGTACCGGTACTACCGGGCATGGTGCTGTAGAAGTCTTGAGGCTTCTTGCAGCTTCATCTGTAGAGAGGAGAACTTGGGCGGACACACCCATTCCCCCCATTCCATTGTAAACTATTAAATGGAACTGGTACAGATGTTCAGTCAAGCCTATTTGCAGTGCTGTGGGAATGTTTGTGTTTACCGAAGTTCCTTTCTCTACTATTCATTGCTAGTCATTGCTGCCAGCCAAAACAGTTTGCCGGCGACAGGTTAGTTTTCTCCAAAGTCCTGCAAGCGGGGACAAACAGATAAATACCACGATGCTTCACTGACCTTCGTTGGCGATCTCTTCCCAACAACTTCCCTGAACATGAAGAAAGACAAACAGACACATCCATCATTTCAAACATGGCCGATAGTACGATCCGCCACTTGCCGTATGTACCCGACCATGGCATACATGTACACTCGGACGTCTCTTATCCGGGCACCTTGGGACCGGGCACTGCCCGTATCTCAGATTTGCCCGTATCTCAGAATAACTCACCTACCATGTATGATATCATTTTTTGAAGAAGTTTATTTGGCACGTATTGCACATGTTGAGGATACAAAGGGAACCCATTGATAAAAATGTGGGGATTGCATAGGTTGGCAGTGAAACATAAGCACTTCCACACACGGAAAAAAGTTCAAAAACCCCAAATTCGAAGCATTTGTGCTATAGGCCCTCAGCTGAAGGTGCCCGGTAGAGAGACGTGCCCGTATCTGAGGCGTCCAGATAAGAGGCGTTTGAGTGTACTGATGCTAAGGCATTACAAGCCGTACGAAATCAGCACCACCCACCAGCTCTTAAAAGAATGCCCTCTACTACACCCCCCCCCCCCCCCCCCCGCCACATACACACACGGGCACGTGCACACACCACACCCACCCATACTACACCCACGCACACATACCCGTACCCCCCATCCTACACACACACACACACACACACACACACACACACACACACACACACACACACACACCCATACTACACCCACGCACACGCACCACACATGCCCGTACCCCCCCCCCCCCACACACACACACACCACCACCACCACCACACACACACACACCCACATACACCTCAGACCTCAGACATGCCCATCGCGGAAGCGATGATAGCGAACAGCTATGTTAGACATAGCAACTACACACACACACCTCAGACCTCAGACATGCCCATCGCGGGAGCGATGATAGCGAACAGCTATGTTTTAGACATAGCAACTCACACACACACACACACACACACACACACACACACACACACACACACACACACACACACACACACACACACACACACACGACTACTTACTTCGGATCTCTTCTCTTCAGGTGGATTGCGATCAGCCCGTCGCTATCCGGATCGGATGATGCCATTGGCGATCGTGACTGGGCGGTAGTGGATGCAGCTGACGGTGCTGCAACGGATTGCACACCATTTGTTGACGGCTGAGCAAATGACGGGTTATTCTCTGGCTCGGCATCAGCTGGAAAACCACACAGCACAGTCACGTTAGGGAAACCTTGAATTGAAAATACTACAACTACTTCGTGAGGTAGTGTTTCACACAATATTCCTCTTACTTTGCTGAAGCTTGTATCGGAATGCGTCCCTAGTGGTGGTGAAATAATTGTACTGGATATTCGATTAGAGGACAGTTCTTGAAAATAATCGTAGTGGGAATATATCAGAGTACTCGTTCATGCATTGTGCATGTACAACCCCCCCCGTTGTGCTCGGTCCACATAAACAGTTCTCACACCATGAGGGCAATGTGCTCTAGAAACTACTGTCAAGTGGAGTGATAGGCAAGAGAGATTGGAACACACACACACACCCACACCCACACACCCACCCACACCCACACCCACACACACCACTACTGCTGCTGCTAGCAACAGGTAGAATGCAAGGAAAGTATTTATACATACATTGGACTTCAGGAACAATGCCGTGCTCCTCGTTGTATGCCCTCTCCCTCTCAATCTCGTCTGAACACATTTGCATTACAGTGCGTGCACACACACACACACACACACACACACACACACACACATACATGAGCGCGCACACACACACACGTACAGAAAGAAGCACATTACAATTTAGTAAGAATAAACAGACAGGACAACAGCACACCATGCATCAAATGCACTGCCACATTCAGTGCCACCGACAAAGCACAACACGGTGCTACTAGTCTGAATGATACCCGTTGTACTGCTGCCATCATGTACACCTGCGACTAAACTAGAGTAAGCCAAACATACACACACACACACACACATACACACATGTACACACACATGCACATACACACACACACACACACACACACATACACACACAGACACGTACACACACATGCACATACCACACCCACACATGATTCTTTTAAAAGTGTAAAAAAAAACTAAAACAAACATGCACGCACACACACACATGCACGCACACACACATGCACAGTGATGCACATGCATGCATGCACACACACACACCACACACACGCACACACACGCGCGTGCACACACACACATACACACACACACACACAACGTGGGCAAACTACAGTACTGCACCACTAAACGAGCGAGAGCCGATATGGAGAGAGAAGCTCGGCTCACCTTTTTGCAGCCCTGGGACTAACTTGTAGACGATATCAGACATTGTGCGATCCATACTGTATACACAAAGAAAAAGCACCAGCACCACCACCACCAGTTCACCACGATGCCACCAAGACCAGAAGCAAAACACAGCGGCGTGATCATTCGAACCAACACTAGCCAGCAAAGACGAGCTCATCAGGGTATGCACTTGATACGGAATGGCAGGGCAGTGCTTCTGATGTCAATAACTACAATAGCCATATGACATGATTGCACAACTTCTATTGACCAGCTGTGCACTACAGGGAGTGGGTGAACCTCTGGCTTCACAGCAGGTATTGATTTGCGATCCCTGGGCCATTTGGCCCAAATATAAACATGCCGAACAATGGTAGAAATGTATTATATCTTTTATTTAGGCGGGGGCACACCACACGGAGTGCATTGGCATAAAAAAAGGGTGTGCATAGGTAACTGTCTTGGCTGTCACACACACACACACACACACTCACCTCAAACACACACACACACACCTCAAACACACACGCACACGCGCGCGCACACACACCACACACGCACACGCGCGCGCGCACACACACACACACCTCAAGCAAACAACGGAATATGGAGCTGAGATCAGGGTTAGGTTCTGGTACTCACCGCACATAGTGAAGCGGATAGGCCTCGTGGATGACAATACGACACGTCGGGCAGTCCCGCTTGACGTGCAGGTGCTTGACAATGCATGATCGGCAGACTGTGTGTGTGTGTGTGTGTGTGTGTGTGTGTGTGTGTGTGTGTGTGTGTGTGTGTGTGTGTGTGTGTGTGTGTGTGTGTGTGTGTAGGAGAGAGAGAGAGAGAGAGAGAGAGAGAGAGAGAGAGAGAGAGAGAGAGAGAGAGAGAGACAAACAGAAAGAATTGGAAACAGTTACCAAATACATAAAATCCCAAAGCGGTATTCCCACATCGCCTTGTAAACAACATGATACATCTACTTTACAGGCATAGAGATATACACATATCCCACCAAATCCACAGTAGAAAACAAAACACTGCCATGATGGTATCAGCGTCAGCAAAAACAGTCCAGACAAAGACCATAATACTAGAAAAATGATTTCAAAAATACCCCTCCATACACGCACACACACACACATGCATGCACACACGCATGCACATGTGCACGGGCACATGTACACGCACCAAGAACGTACTAGTTTGCTCCCTCTCAAAGACATAGTCGACAATCAAGGGTAAACCATTCAGCAGCACTTACAAGAATGTAGGCACTCAGTGACGGTGGCTGCGTTTACCAAGTACCCAGAACACAGGCCACATGTGATGTGTGGAGTTAAATCCCGTACGTTTATAGTACGCTGTGAGTGAAAGGAACAAGCAGAATTCATGCACACACAAGTGTGAGGGCGTGCACACAGGAACATACGCACGCACACACACGCACGCGCAGGCACAAACACACACAAATACCCATACACACGCATGTACACACACACGTGCACATACACGGACACACACACACGCACACACGCGCGCAGGCGCACACACGCAGGCACACACACATGCACACAAACATGCGCACACACACACATATGCACATACACACACACACACACACATTCTTCATTGGCCGCCATCGTCACAGCATCAGATCGATGGAATACTGATCTCAACAGCACTGAATGAAAGCCGCTCGCCAGATCAGTGTGAATAAGTACACAGTGAGTCATATCATGGGCCACCACAGACCAATCTTGTGCCACTGCTGCTAGTCCTGAATCAAATGTGTTACTATTTTGTGTGTGCTTCAGTATGAACATAGAAACAGAGGAAGGAAGAAGGAGAAAGATGATCCAAGCAAAGAAGGGACAAGGAGAGGCCATTCTGGGACATATTTTATCACAGAACCAGCACGGTCAGGAAGTCAACAAGACATGAAGCTGTGATTCCAGATCTGGACTTGCTGCTGACATAACCTCCTGTTGTGGCTTTGTGGCGATTGAAGAAAGAGGAATTTCCGCAGCACCACGCTCTGATCGTACCCGACTGTTGCTACCATCAGGCGAAGGTACTCGGTACATTTATTGATAAGGACAGCCATTCGCCAAACAGCCCCTAGCCTAATCAGCGCTCACAACTCGCGTCTGAATTTGAGTGAGAGATTGGAACGTTTTCAGTGGCGCTGAGATTCAAGAATATTCAGGAGAGACTTCTTCCACCACTGTCCAAATCACAGATTCTATAACAAGTGAAATTACTTCAGCTCCATCCGTAATCCAACTCAAGGATAGCCACAGGATCAGTCTCTGCTTTCCAGCATATACCAGATATACTCATAATGTCACATTTCCCCTTCTCTGTGTCCAAAGCTATAGTGAAATGCACAATGAACATACATCGGGTCGTTTCTTTCCTCGAACGACTGGCTCCTCGCCGCCATCGCTAATTGCTTGCTCGTCCAGGCGCCTGTCCATCTCCTCAGTCCAACCAAAATGAAATCGCAGCTCGACGTTGCCAACCTCCTGGAGATATATCGCTTTACTTACTTACTATTGCCAGTGCAGCGCATGTACTCGTACGACAGCCTACAGCCTCATGATGAGCTCAGTACAGGCCACATAAAAACAGAAATGACTGGCAATCTGTCAAGCGCGTGCGTAATGCCCGAGTACGAGTATGTATGAGCTAATACAGTGCGCTAGCTTGTGCGCAGTGCATGCAGCTCACTCATTTTTATGAAGAAAAAGCGAGCCTTGCAGCGCGCGCGCGTGCGCACCCGGTACGAAGTGATTTGGCTTTTTTTAACATTTGGCATTTTTTAACAAATGTGTAAAATTTGCTTTTCTTCTGGCTGTTTCTCTGCTCCGGATGGCTGTATCGAAACATGGGTGGTGGCAAATGGGAGGCAGTTTATCGTAGCCGGATCAACATTGACCAGAAAATTTGGTGCATATAATTTAATTCTCCCTGCCACATTGGTATAATTAATGGTGGGTGCTTTGATGATTTGTGTAAAATGTGTAAAATGAGCCCCTGAATGGACGAGGAGGGCAGTGAATTGCTTCCGCAGGGCCTTTGGACGACGTCAGGCCGTCTTGCCATCACTAGAGACAGTAATGAAGAACAGTAGGTCATGGAATGCACTCTGTGAGAACGAAAACATCGCTGCGATGCTATGCTATCTATCCAATTCCACCGTATAACACAGCCATTAGTTACAAATACAAAAACACGGCTTTCGCAGCATACAATGCAGTTCACTCCTCTGTTGACGGATTAATTTTCATCCACTAGCAAATAGTAGCAATCCTTGAAGTGATATCTATCAACTAACATTGATGACCGAATATCCCAGTTTGTGATGCCATTTTACAAATTTGTTAAAAAATGACACACCAATTATTTGAATCCTGAGAATACTGTGAAAGTAGGACATGATTCAAGACACTTTCCAAAGTGCAGTGGGATCATTCCCATTTTTGGACACAACGGGCATGAAGGATAGCACTTCCACTTGCAACAATTCATTTGGACGTAGCTTGTCTAGAAGTGACTGAAAAACGTCATTTTACAACCATGTTAAAAAAAAAGCCAAACCACCTCGTACTCAGCTCAGATCAGCTGAGTCAGCTCCAGCTCGCTCCGCGATCTGTCAACGATGAGGATAAGCCATAACTAACTATTACTTACTTATGGCTTATCCTCATCGCATAAGGAGTCGAGTCGGACTCGTAGGTCTACTACGCGATCGCGGGCGCTAGTGCCTGGTCATGCAACACGTCTGCAGTACATGACCATAGCCGTAGATCTAGATACAGTTCGCCATGTCTACCAGGTCTACAGACGAGGTCTACCAACGTTGCAACAACAAGCCCTAGCCGTCATTGTAGGCCTGGTGCTCGAAGTCTCAAGAACTAGAAATCCAAGGAGAAGGTTCAGGGTTATCAGGCCGGAAGCAGTGAGAAACTTTAGCAAGAAGAATAGATGATAACAAGAGTACATAAACCGGTTTATGTACTCTTGATGATGATATTAGATAAACCTTGTATTGTAGAAACACGCTTTTAGTTTAACCACGAACGAAGTAGCGGTGAGGCATCCTGCAGCTTCATAACTCGAAGAGAATTGGTGAGCAAACATGCTCATTCCCTGGGCACTGCAAATTCACAACTCATTTCATTTTACAGAATCATTTTCAACGTTTCGGCAAATTGCCATCATCAGGATGCAATATGAAGTGGAAGTCTGCCAAGGAGCAGTTATATACACTAATTTGGTGTTCTTAGGTGTTGATAATAATTATTTCTATGACTGCACATGTTACCTCCGTGCTAGAAATATGACATGTCTAAAACTAGTGAAAGATCACAAGTTTTCACTGACTCATATGCTGGGTGTTGGTAATAAGTTAGCACAGCGCAGATGTCGCCAGATAACTTAAATGTCTGAACAGGTTTCTCGCAAGCATTGTCTTCCAATGACACCATGTGTAAGGAAAGTGAACAGAAAATTCAAGACCAACTTCAACTCAACCACTATCCAGAGAGCCTCATCATCAATGCCCGAGAAGCAGCAAGGAAACCCAAGCGTCGCCGCCGAGGTAATCCGTGTTGTGCGTTTCTGAAGCTGCCATATAAGTCGGACAGGGTGCATCACAGCGTCAGCAAAGCTATCCGGAAGCAAAAGTAATTAGTTACCAGTCCGGGTGGTTTACGAGCATGCGGGTAGCCTCAAACGTCAGCTCTGTCACTCAGCACAAAGTCCGCCCAGCTGCATTAAGGAGCCCAACATCAGAAAGACAAAGAGAAGAGGACGCCCAATGGGACCGTGTCTGACTTGTAAGTCGGGTGGAGTGAAAATATGTTTGAAGAAGAATGTGATATACCGGCTGCAATGCAAGGTGTGCAGGGAAAAATACATCGGAGAGACGGGTCGCACACTGGAGACGAGACTGGAGGAACACAACGGTGAAGCTCGTAGGCGCACTGTGGATAAGCCATGGGGTGACCACATGCGAGCTAAGCATGCAGGGATCAACCTAGGTGTCGGGGACAGCATCTTCTCGGCAGTGTCGGTGGTTGCAAGAGCCAGTGACAGGGCAAGCCGCAAATTGCGAGAGGCAGTGGAGATCAGAAACGAAGGCCCAGAGATCTACACCAGTGCTGGGTGGTCATAACAGTCACACCACACTGGCTATCTAGGTGACCGTATTTTCTGGAAAACACTGACATGGTCACATTCGTGTATTGCTTGCGAGAAACCTGTTCAGACATTTCTCAAGTTATCTGGTGACATCTGCGCTGTGCTAACTTATTACCAACACCCAGCATATGAGTCAGTGAAAACTTGTGATCTTTCACTAGTTTTAGACATGTCATATTTCTAGCACGGAGGTAACATGTGCAGTCATAGAAATAATTATTATCAACACCTAAGAACACCAAATTAGTGTATATAACTGCTCCTTGGCAGACTTCCACTTCATATTGCATCCTGATGATGGCAATTTGCCGAAACGTTGAAAATGATTCTGTAAAATGAAATGTGCAATTTGAAACTCGGATGTTGAGCCATAAATAAATGTAGAAGAGAAAAGGACATATGGATACGAGTTAAGAGTAACTCTCCATCACAGCCTTGAACCTTCCAAGTTGGAAGGCTGTCGGTTAGCGCTACGGAGATGTGTTGAAGCTAGGTGTCAGGACGTCGAATGTTTCAGTACTCTGTCAGTTTTGTGCCTAGTTATTGCACTTTCTGACTGTATATAGTATCATGTTACAGTGATGGAGAGTTACTCTTAACTCGTATCCACATGTCCTTTTCTCTTCTACATTAAAATGAAATGAGTTGTGAATTTGCAGTGCCCAGGGAATGAGCATGTTTGCTCACCAATTCTCTTCGACGCTTTTAGTTTGACAGCATAATTATTACAGGGCGGTGGAACACCGTGTTCGGAAACAGTGCCCCTTTTACTACAACCATCCACAGTTGGCAGAGCCCCGGTCTTGCGACCATCTTTAATGCAAACCTTCTCCCCACCGGATTGACAAGTAAGACATGGCTCAAGCGGGCGGCCTCGTCTCCTACGTTGCGCAATAGTCGGTTCCTTGACACATTGGGGTGGCGACTGTGCTGAACGACATTGCGGAGACTGCCCAAGTGCTCATAATTATACTACTCTTACCGGCAGTTTTTACTTGCGAATGGCGAACTAGGCTTCCGTGCCGCTTCTCTCGCCTCTGATATGATGTTTTCTGGATAATGGTTCAGTAGTAGTCGTTGGTGTATCTTGTGTTCACTTTCAGCCCGCATCTGAGCATTGTATGAGAGTCGCTGTGCTTTCAAGAATTGCGACTGT